ACTCTTTCTCTCGTTCTCTCCATTCATTTTAAGAAACCCAAGCAGAAGAAAATATGAATTGTCAAATATAGGAAGAACATCTTCCTGATAAGCTATGTTTTCTACTTGCGTCTATGACTTTTTTACCACTTAACTGCAAGTTTGAAGTATGAAAGTATTCCATTATCCACTAGTTCATAACAATGAACATCTATCTTTCAAGTACCTCTTTCTAGCTGAAAAAGAAACTGAAGAAAGTAACATTATTTCACAAGATTAGATTTTTTAATTATGATTTCATCTTATTGAAAGAACTGTATGATCAGAAAGAAAGTGAAAACAACATTCAAACATTTCATCAAAATAACTTTAAAATGACTACTTTCATTTGTACATGGTACAGATACACAAGTGTGACCAGAAAACAGTTTAATCCCTCTGGACCAAGGTTAGTGAAAGAAACGTGAATAATTAAATTCTTTTTTGTGTGTGCATATGCATATACACATTAAAAAATATAAATTCAAGGAGCAAACCCCCACATAATTATAAATATCAAAAGCTGATACACTTCATTCTTGTACTTAGTACCACTATCACTGGAGCCCTAACCGGGTCATAGTAACTGCTATGTAACTCTGACTTAGAAAAATGGGCAATGTTCTGAATTCACAATGTCCTAATTTTGCCTTTGTGGACACATCTTCCCTTCTCCAGTGACAACATTTCATGGTGAAAAAAAATGGTTATGTTTTACTCAACTGGTAGCCCTGTGCCACTTGCTATTTAATGTCACTTCATTCCTTATTCATTTAGTCATTAAATCCATAACAACCTTTCTTGTTCCCTTTACTGGAGTGAATGTTCACGGAGCAAGCCACTCTAGAGAACAGTGCAAAAGGAGAGAGATGCAACTGCACTTAAGGGCTTTATTTTGGTATCTAAGAGAAGACTGGAAAATATTATTTTTTTAATAAACAAAGTACGCAACATAGGCCCCAATATACTTAGGAGAGCAGGGCAAATGAAACTTGAAAGAAGTATCCCATACGTAGTGTTTCATTGGGCAGCCCTTCTAAGAAGTCAGGATTTTATCCTTGGCAGCCCATGCACTGAACTTGAAGAGAAAGCATTAATTTTTCTTTTCCCTAAATACCATTTTCACAATAGAAGGCTAAGCTCAAAAACTGGAAGGTAATAAAAGTCAAAAAACAAACCCAGAAGCTAAACTCAAAAAAACAGTCTCTGAAGAACAACCACCCCCTTCAACATAGCAGCCATTTAATTATTTGTTGAACTTAGATGATAGAAATATTATTAGCATATTCTTACGGTTTCCCTACTCTAAACTATAATATATAGTACTAAATTCTGAAAACCAGTATAGTCAATACTTTCAAATCAAAGGAAAACAATGAGAACAGCAAGGATGAGCATGGCTGTACCATTCGAGCAAAAATAAAGAAAAATAAACTTAAAACATAGTGTTGAAACTTCTACTAGTTAGCCTTGCTTACATGAATTAAAAAAAAAAAAAGTTTTCAGATTTTATACATCTTTTTTCAACCAGGTACATTTAATTGCAACCAGTAGGCACTCTACCATAACACAGTATTTGCAATCCTCGTCTCTCTAACTGAGAGAGATTACTTTGGCCTCAGTATTGCTATATTACAATTTTCCTGCTTCAAAACATGCAGTTCATACATTTTACAGTTTTACTGCCATAGTCGATGCATTCTGGCCCAATACACTCACAGCAGGCGTTGTGAAACCATCGGTATTTGGACGCTCCCATGGACTCACAAGAGATCTTGCACTGATGTATTGACATGCAGTCATCAAAATACACCACAGTACACATGTGTTCTAAACCAAGAGGGAGGAAAAAAAATCTAGTTTAAAAGTTCTTAAATTATTTTCAAAAATTAGTTAAAAATTAATTAGAGGTGCAGCTTTTGAAGTAGGATTGCAAATCATCATGACTATGAGGCATAAGGAAAAAAAGGTGATAGTGAAAGCAGAGAGAACAGGAAGAGAGCCAAGTACAGTCTATCAACTTCAAGTTTTCAACTCAACGTGTTGTCTGTTCTCCTTCTAGATTAATTTATTTCTGTAATCACAGGCAAGAATGGTTTAGGTTTTTGTCCCCCAGTTATGAAGGATACCTTTTAAATTGTAAGGATGGGCTATGACAGAGTAAAGAGCAGACACTGATATTACCTCTGAAGGTAATATCAAGGTATCACTTGCCAGCAGTTACTGTGTGCTATAATGGAAAACTTCAGGTTTAGAGAAGTTATTTAAAAAGCACCAAAACCCACTTACTTAAGCATAAATGTTTCTTCCTCCCCACCAACTCCACAACACTCTTCAGCCACATTAAATCACAGAGCTAGAGAATCTTGTTTTCATCAAGCTGAAAGGGCACACTTTCTTCCTCTCTTTTTTAGCAACACCACCAGCCTTACTACTGAGATTAAGAAACCACTTCTGCCAGAGTGCTGACTTTAATCTTCTAACATCCACACCATTATGTGAAATGCCATGAAGTTTAATGTTGCAATCCCAAACTGGAGCCAAGGCACTCACCACAACTATAACACAAAACCATCCGTCCTCTGTCTACTTCCAATTCCCCAAGCTCACAGATCTGACCAACTTTCTTCTGTGCTGACCAGCTGATCACACTGTAACTTTTTTCATCCTCCGACGGACCTTGACTGCCTTACATGAATTATCAGCATAACTTGGCACACTTTGGGAAAAAGCACAAACTTTGGGAAAAAGCACAACTGAAAGCTCTCTGCAGACGTGAATGACTCCCGTCAGACAGAATGTCTCACGTCAGACAGATCTGTGAGCAGGAGACGTCAAGGGGCTTTCTAGCTTATTACTACTTAAAAGTGTGTGGATCCAGGAGAAACATACTGACCTACATTCCAATGTGGATTAGAAAAATGTAATCCAAATGTAAATGGGACAGTGGGATTTTTATTTTTTTTGCATGATTATAGAGAAGGGTGAATAGCTGAAGGACTCTCAGTGTACCAGAACCTCCCCTTCAACATACGGGTGCCCCACAAATTAGCAGCCTCAGTAGTATGCATGTCTCATGGTAAGCTTTTAAGGTGAGGTGCAAAGGTGAGTCGAGGCTAGCAAGGTCTCCATCATCTCAGAAGTCATCAGCTGGTTTCCTCAGTACCAACAATAGATGATCTCTGTAGTGCCCATGCTTTTGGGCATATGACAAGGGACAGCAACGACACATAGAAGAGCACAATGTACCCAACAGTTTTTCTGTGGACACGCCCGTCTCCGTGACATCTGTAAACCCTGCCTACCCTTCTAAAAATTACCATCTGTTAAAAGAAAGTATTAGATAACCTCGAGCACTATTTCACTACTACCTAAACAGCTTCAAGAGGGTCACAGGGCATACTACCAGCCTACTGAAAGCGAGAGAGTATTCACTGCGTTGTGCAGGCTCTTAACTGATGCACACATCTTGACGACACCACATACAGTGCAATGGACAATAAAGATCTTAGGAAGACCAACAGCTGAAGCAGTTTCTGCTCCCAGAAACGCTGTGCTATAAGCAGCTGTCCCAAGAAATCTCAGAGTACCTGAGGTACTGCTGGGAATGCCAACAAAGTAGACTCTGGCTGTGTAAGTCCTGTCCCATTCTCGACACTCCTATTTCCGTGACCCATTATAGTAACAAACCCTGAGGAACAGCAACCAGAGGAGAAGCATTCTCAGAGAACAAAACCTCTGCTTAAAACTGACCAACATATCTACAGCTTCAGCAAGGACACTTTATTCACAGAGAGGAGGAGGAAAGAGCAAAACAGAAGGGTATGCTATGGTACCGCATGCAAAGAGTCACCAGCCAGCCAGACACCAAAGCTGACAAGTGTTAGGCGGATGCAGCCACTGCAGCCTGAAAGGCAAGAATCCACCCAGAGGCCATAGAGCAGCTCCATCTACTTATGGAGAACACACAAGGATTTGGCAACATTTCATCACCAGCAAGAAAAAGCTTAAGATTGCCAGAATACCAAGGAGGAGCACACATCAGCCATTCCCAGGAGGCTCAGACATTTCCAGGTACCTGTTCACCTCACAGGAGGTTTTCAGTTGAAGGGTAGAGTGTGAGAAAGTAGAGGTGAGTCTCCAGGCAGCATTTCTCATGAAATATAAGCACCAGTGAGCATCCTGTCAGTCACCCAGTTCAGTGTTGGCATGCAAGCATAAGAACCTTATAGAAACATCTCTAAGACACATTCATAGTCTTTGTACCCTCTTGCTTAATCCCAATTCACTCATTTGGTATCTTTGATAGTAGTTTTCTTATCAAGTTTGACCTTAAGTGCAACAGATAGGGTCAGTCTTAGAAGGTGTCAGCTGGTCTCTAGATCAGCTTGAGAAGGCAGAATAACTCATGGGTCTCTCTCTATAGTAGCAGGAGAGCTCTTCAAATAAACCAGAGTCCTCTCCAAAGGGTTGCTCTAAGTGCTCACTGCTATCATGTTGATCACTGCACTCCAACTTGCAACATGCAAAGGAAAGCATACAGTAGGTCAGGAAAGCTTCCCAGGAAAGTTGTGCACACTCTGAGGTGGGCTAGCTGCCCCCAGCACTTGCAGGCTGTCTTCACAGCAGATAATGATCGGTCCCCTCTGTGTTAGGAGGCATCTGTGTTGATGTTCACCTTAACCTAATATGTGACAGCCTCATCTGTGCTACTACCAGTTCAGAGGAACTGGAGAAGCCCAGTTCATCAGCTAATGCCTGCTGAAACTTTATTTAAAGCTCTTGGGAATGAAAATCCTGTGAATTCTAGCATGTAAGTATTGATGACACTGAACTAAGAGACTGAAGACATCTTTCAAGCAGAAGGAGGCTGGAGTATGAGCAGCATCGGCCCATAACCCTGGCAAAACCAGGTAACAGCAGCCAGGTCCTGTGAAACTGAAGAGACTAGTCTTCTTGACTGCTCTCCCAGAACCAAAACTGGAACCAAAACAGGAACTGAACGTTATTAAGGTGACAGCAACAACCAAAGAAATTATCTTGACTGACTGGAGTGTGGAAAAGAAAGCATATTTCCACATGCACAAAAGCCAAGAGCATTAAGTCCTAGACGACCAGTCAAAAAATGCTGTGAGGGGAGCAAACAGGCTGTACACGGCAGGCCAGAGCCAGCAGTAGATCTGGCTGGTTCCCAGTAGCTCTTGTAAGCAGCTGGAGGACGTTCTCTGTGTCTGTGCTGACAAAACGTTTCTGAAGTCTCTCTCATTCAGAGATTTGCCAGGTCTGAAGGAGTCAGATTGGCCAGGAGGCACTTTATTTGTCATGGGACCCTCCCGGCCCCCTCTTTAGCAGTGTCTGTGTGCCCACATAGAGGCTGAATTACTGAAAGCAGGAAGAGTTCCTTGCCTCAAGCCTTAAATTCTTTTATAGGCTGCAGAAACAGAGTTACACAGGGGGAAAAAATACATACCTACAGGCTCCCTTGGGATCTGGGAGAGTATTTAAATTGTTTCACAAACCTAATTACATAGTCATCATTTGGCTCCCTCAGTGCAGATAAAAAGGATGTTACTTAGTGCAGTAACAGCTCTTTCATTTGCATTTTGCTAATTTTCACACCATAAAGACTACAGACTGCAGGGAAAAGGAAGCAGCAACATTCTTTTTTTTTTCCCCAGAACACGAGTTTCTCACCTTTTTTCCCCAATCCCAACAAAGGCTGTGCAGGAAAAACAACAATCAAGTCTAAATTCAAAATGACCAGAAGAAATGGACTCACTATCACACTGTCTGTGCTGCAAGTGAGATCTGTATTGGTGCACTATGGAGGAATCCAGCAACTTAGAGAAGATAAAACAAATCAGTTCTTGTAAGTTAAGGAAAAATGCCTATCTACAGGATGAAAAAACTTCCCAGTTAATGACAATTCCCTGCATATCACCTTTGAAGTTAAAGGTGCTATGTCAGTTCAGATGTCTGCTGGTCTGTTTATTGGTAGCCCTGAAAGTACTTTAAAAAGGTAACTGTCCATCCAGGAGCCATACGTTTTTATGTCAACTTATAACAAGAAACATGAAAAATAAAAAATAAATAAAAAAATCTTCTTAGAGTACCTGCAGAGATAGATGCCACTTTACTGGATTTCTAGCTCTCCTCTACCTGACTGGCACTGGAAGGGAGCAGAGGCACAGAGCGGACACCAAGCCCTGTGTCACTAAGCAGTGTTAAGTCAGAAACCCTTAACTGCAAGAGAGATTCTGTTTCATCAGCTGCCAAAATATTATCTAGTTCCTCTCTCTCTTGCCAACATCCTGTCATCATCTGAAACAATTAAGCTTTTTTAAACATCTGAACTCACAATTCCAAGCTCTGAGGGTATCAGCTAAAGTAAAGCAAAAGAATGAAGTATAAATGTAGCTGTAGATAAATCAGCATCGCAATCCTCTCTGAAGCAGTGGCTCAAACGCCAGAAACCACTGCTATGAAGAACTACAACCGCTCCAGCAGCGCACATATACTTTGGCAACTAAAACATTAAAAGTCAATTCACAAGAGGAAAGGGAAGACACTCATTAAGATAATAACGGGGAAGTTCAAGGTCTGGTGTCTGGGCTCACAGCAGGCTGGGGCGAGAAAGGAATGCTTTATATCCCACCGCTCCCCACCTCCTCCTGGATCTACGGCCGCTGTCCCCGGGCTGGTGGCTTCACGCTGCTCAGGCACAAAGCTCATGGATTCCCGCGGCTGGTGCTGCTTTTCCTGGCACTCACCCAGAACCACACTGAGCAAGCCTGGCACTCCGGGCCAGCTTAACGGAGATCCCTGCGTGAATGCATGTTGAAATTAGAATCAGAACTACGTTACGCAGCACGACAAAGGGTATTTGTAGGCAGAGCCTTTCCAAATTTTGGGATGTATTTGAGAAGACAGCACAAAGACTGCTGTCCCCTTCCAAAATCTACCTCTCGTTAGCCCCTCTCCTTTTACAGGCAACGCAACAGGCTGCTGCCAGCACACGATGGTGGAGCAAAGCACGCAAGGAGCCACGGAAGAGCCACAAAATGGAGGAGGCACAGCACTGTGAAGAAAACACATAGCATCTCTGTTCCTGCTCACAAGAACATTATTTCAAACACCTGAGTGCTACAGCCTTGAAGACAACTGCTCAGCAAGTCCCCTTAAGGATCTCTCCATTTGCAAAATGTGCCCTTAAGCCTAGCAGCACATTTAGAGAGAAGGAAAGGGTAAAGAGATGGTACAGTTTCTTCCACTGCAGGCTATGCTTGTGCTTGCTGCAACTGAGCACACAACAAAAACCCAAAACACACCTCCTTTCAATGGTTCTTCTGACTGAGCTTTGTACGGCCAGAAGCCAAACTGCAGCAGCTTCCTGGGCTCCCTTCTCTGTGCCCATGCTCACAAGGCTCTTAGCCCTTCACCTAATACCCCTCCACCTTTTAGTTAAAACCAGTGCCACTCCGCGGCTCATCCAACACAAAGAGGTACAATTCCCCAGTTGCCCTTGCTTCCACCATAATAAACACCAACTGACCAAGGCCAGCAGACAACTTCTCTTTCCACTTTCCTTTGTTCTCAATGCTCGAATCATCCATGTTTTTATAAGCAAACTTTAATGTGACTTATGAAAAAAGCACAGCACTACAAAGTTATTTACATTGTGGCCAAGACGGGAGAGACTCCTGAACAGGCTTACATTTTTAGATACTTGAAGTACAGGATGTTGAAAGCCATTTTCTACCTCTTCTAGTTCTTCACTGATCATGAAGATGGAGGAGGCATAGCCCACGATTACAAAAACAGCTCTGACATTTATTCTTCAGGGTCTACTGAAGCCTACGAACCAGTGGCACTTGCTAACTATTTCCAAATATAACTGTTGGTTTTGGATGGTCATCATTCCAGCAAAAACTCTCTCAACATCATCTCTAATACGTTCTTAGTAAAGGAAATGAAGGAGACTTTTGAGTAAGAAAATAATTGCAGTGTTATGTATTTGTCTGTGTTAAGTTCGAAACTCCTCCTCACCCCTGAGATGCAATTCAAACTCCAAATTTAATCCAAAACTATCATTAACCCATCCTGTTGGTATGGTAGTAAAGGACTGTCAGGGGACAGCCATCTGGGCTGCAGTACCTAAGTACAGTGGGATATATTCAAGATTGTTCTAAACATATTTTTTTTCCCAAAGTATAATTTACATCTTTAAATACTGTAGTGTTTGCACACAGGGCTTTTTGTGGCTTGCCATTGAACATGGCTTTCTGCATCATTCTCGTAACGGCAAGCAAGCTTTTAATAATGTCACAGACATATGAATGAGATGCTTTCCGACCATCTGGTTTCCCAGTTCTGGAATTAATTTATTTTTCTAACATGCCTTAACCAAAGGAAATTAGAAAAGTTGTCGTTACGATCCCATTTAATCAACAGCAGTCCTACACAGAAACTTAACTAGGTCAAAGGTTCAGCATGCCCACCAATTTGAGTATCTTTCCTTGATAAGATAAAAGAGCCATCGCAACTGCAACATATGGGGTTATGAATATTTAAAGTGTGTGTTGGGAAGGAAGCAAAGTATTAATTACACTAATAAAACAAATCAGATGTTCTTTTTTCCCTGTTAAGCAGCAATTTCACTACAAACTGTTTATGAGTTTATTTTAAGTCTGACGTAATGATTTGCAGGGAAAAGTATTTCAGGTTTAATATGGAAACCAAGAAACAGAGGGTATTTTTCTTATGCTGCTCAAACTCCTCATCTTCCTCCCATCCTCTGAAAACAACATTCTGAAGTCTGAAGGTGAGAGTATTAAAAACTTGATAGAAGAGGAATAAGTCTGTACGTTGACTGTCACATACGTCACTGGATGATCTTTAAGGTCCCTTCCAACCCAAACCATATTCCTCCTTAACTAACGAGCAATCCTGCTGATCTTACTCGGGTTTACTATTAATCCTGGATTTCTTACAAACGATCTTCCTAAAGAGTTCAAGTTATGCCAGCTCAGACGAAAGAAATAAACGCCTACTCCGGATACAATGGTTTCTGGAATGTAGCTTTCTCAAACCTCTGAAGCCATGCATTTTCGTTGCCTAACTCTGCACTAATCCATTATTTGGATTCAGCTTTTGGGCTGTCCCGTCTCCTAAGCTACAGGTACCTGTTGCGAGGTCAAGGAGTATATTGTGTCAGTGCACCTGAAATAAGGTGAACAAAATGCATCATGTCCCAGAAAGAATTATAACAAGCTCATGTGTTTCAGTGTCTCCTAAGATCATTAGACTCTAACATCATCTCCTGCGTTCCTCAATACTTTTGCCTTACTCATTTTGTTATGCCATGCTCAAAACTAGACTGAAGTTTTCACACTTTTTAATGGGAAAAGAAGTAGTGAGCACAGACGAGCACAGAATATGCACTGAGAAGGCTCCTGGAAGAGAGGAAAGGAAACACTAGGAATTTAGATGCTGCGCTCATTACCTTTGTCACTAGAGTAAGGTGCATGGACATTGTTGCTTGGAACTGAGACGTTCTGATGCTGTGGCTGGTTCACTGTTTCTAAAAAGGAAACGAGGTTCTCATGGTGCGACAGTTCTTCTGCCACAGGGAAGGAAACAATATTCCAGTTCAGCTGAGTATCTCCTTCTGTCAGTGCCCGGAAAAGGGAAGGAATTGGTTCATGCAACTCCTCGACAGTGCTCTTGGATGTTGGAGGTGTGTCACTGTAATTGCGAGGATTGCACATACCTGCAGAGGAATGAAACAGTAAGTTACACAAAACTCCCTAAACTCCTCTCCTTGAAAGAGGTGGGTATATTTAGAAAATTAAAATTGCCCCTTTTTTTTTTCTAAACAGAACAGAGCCCTTTCATATATATATCCACTCTTAGCTCAACAGCAGTACTGCCACCAAACACAGCAGGACGAGCTTTCCATAACGACAGGTTTCAGATCTCTGTAGACTTCCAGAAAACACCTCTGTGACTCATGGGATTGAAGTGAAAAGAAAAACCTCACTAAACAGCACTACGCTTCCCTGTTTATGCTAGCACTACAGCTTAAGATATGAAAAATTCAATGGAAGGTTTGTTTCCCCTAGGAAAAGAGACAAAGCACAGCATAATTCAAAGTAGCACAAATCTGGAATGAAAGCTTACGACTGAATGAAGACAGTATCTTGACAAGTCCTGAGGTACATGAAACTTTTGACCACAATTCAAATATTGGATCTCATCAGCTGCAGCAGTGCCCCAGATCTTCTTTTTAATCATCTGCCAGAAATGCAAGGATCAGGAAGGAGCAAGAGTCTGAATTACTTTACGTGCTCATATAGAGCTGAGATGAGCCTTGTTTTGCTACTTAGTTGGAGGGGTCACTACAAGCAAAAATGCTTATTTCCAGATTACTTTTTTCTTATTTTTCAATGTCTTCTGCAGCATCTTTTTTGAAATCTTTTATTTCTCCTTGCCACTTACTACAAAACATTTTTATGATGTGCAATGCAGGTGCCAGTTTTTCACTAACCATTTAAACACTAACATTCATTATTAGCAATGAAACTGAGTGGTATCTCAATGTAATCCCAACGCTGGAACCTCTCAAGAGGCAGACAAAACCATTTTCCTCCTGCACATCTGGATATCTTTTTTGGGTAGTTTCACAGACAAAGTTTTAGACAGCCACAGCTGCAAAGCACACCAATCCTTAAAGTATCAAAGCATATGGGACATAACTATTCAGAGTCTACCTGTCCCATACAACTAGAGAAGTGTCTCCTGCCTTGCAGATACATTAGGGCTCCAGCTTCTGAAATTGTGTTTAACTAGAATCTTATGCAAAACCACAATCTTCTCAATCTAAGTAGCTGGATTTCCACAAAGAACAAAAGAGAGTGAAGTTCATCCCTGACAATTAGCATGAGATCTGGCAAATTCTAAGCAAATGGTTAGCATTAGCAGCATTTAATAATAGGAACAACAAAAGATAGTCTGGTCCCAAAAAAGTGTTGAGCCAAGTATTGGGTAGGAAAAAAAATAAGCCTCTCTTCCAAATAGCATAAGGTTGCACTGAAAAATAATTCCTCTTACATAAACTTCCTACCATAAACCATTTTCTTCCTACTCCTCTCAACTAGGCTTCTTTTTCACAGATATTCTTGGGTTCTCTGTTTTAATAAAACTTATATCCCTGCATTATCACCTTTAATAGGCACTTGGGAATATTCATTATACAATTGTAACACAGGATACTCACCTGAAAATTACTTAGGAAGACATCAAACAAGGCAAGAGTTTTGTACATACATCAAGAGATGTATACTTTAATTGACATCACTGTGTTAATGTTGTGAAATGGAAACCAGTGAGCCTTTCTAGAGGGCCACTCTGTCAGGTTGGAATCATAAAATAAATTTCACTGATAAGAAGGACACAGAGGAAAAAATAACATCAAGATTGTTCATTAAATTATTGAGGAATGTGTACAGGTTGGTGTGGAAATCAATGCAGTATGAAAATATTATCTTAAAATGATACCAAGAAACTACCACTCATTGTTTAATGGCTCATTTCAAAAAGGTCCTTCCCTCTCACTATTTTAAAAAAGTATTTTAACTATATTTATACACGGTTATTATTATAAAAATACTAGCTTTGGTTAAATCAAAACCAAAAAAATTATGAGCAACTAGCAAGGAACAAACATGTCTACATTACTGCTTTGGAATGGATACGAAGATGCAGAAATGGGCTACTGAAATGATGCAAGCAGACAAGCCTTTGCATGAGGGACTAAAAGAACTTAACTGATAAAGCTTACAAAAACAGGAGAGGAACCTGTTGCTGTTCTACTACCTCCAGTGTTTTTTGCCCTGTCAGAGAAGCACGAGAACATCCACTCAAAACATGGGGCATCAACTGAGCATCAGTAAAGTCAGTGCTGGAGGACAGGAGGTAATTCCTGACCTCAGAGCAGACATGACCTGAAAGACACAACAACCTATCTGCTCTTACATTAGACATGATCAGCTTGTAAAGAAACTTAAATATCAGCCTAAGTATCAGCAAAGAACTGTCTCCAGGAAGCTGGGTATGGCATGCACTCCTGTTTCCTCCTTTGAATAACGCTACATCCAGGATGACTCTACACTGAAGAGAATAATAACAGGACCAGACTATAGAATCAACAAGGTCTGAGGCACCTGCAGAACCATCAGGCGATGTTTTACTGGGAAACCGAACCTGAAACCTCACTAACTTCTCCCCCAGATAACACTATGGGAAAGAGCAGCAGAACAAAGAGCAATTTGCAGAGTTAGAAAAAAACCCCACAAAACAACTGCGTGCTGATTTTGCTTTTTTAACCTCACGATCTCAAGAGGTAGGTTCTTCTTCTCCCTTCAGGAGATCAGCACACTATGTATGCCTTGCTTTCTACAGCAGATAATGGCTCTGAACTAGGGAAATAACCTACGATCCTATTTCTCACTCCATGACCAAATAAGAAAACAGTGCACTTTGATAATATGTTACAAAAAAACCAAGAAGATGCTGGAAGGGAAAAGGAGATGAGGAAAAAAGGAGACAGATACATATACACACAAAGACATATTTTATTTCCCAAGGAGCCCAAAATCAAGTAGAAAAAATAAACTCTAGGGTCTCTTTCAAAACATATATCGTCCACAGGTACAAGGGCTGAAAATATTTTATGCCATTGGAAGAATGATACATACACAGGACCACGCCACTGCACTACTTACTGAAAGACAATAAAGCAAAGGCAAGAGCCAGAATCAAGCAAAAGCAAGATGTCAGCATATTCGCACCATGATGGAACAAGAGAAGAAACAGACTGCACTGAAAATCATCTTTACTCATCATCTTCAGAGAAGATCCAGTCAGCCAGAGAAGCTGAGAACAGGTACAACACTCAAGATTTATCCCTTTCATGGAAGCCAGATGGATTTCGCATGGCAGCAGAGGGAAACTTCCAGCAAGCACAAGAGGATTAAGCTTTCAATAAATTTAAAACAAGAGACAGAACTAGAATGCATCCTCCTCAAGCAGGGGCAGCACTCGCTTTGCAAAGATCTGTGTGCTCTGAACAGTACTCTTGGACTACTGCTGTTCGTGTTAAGGCTTATCATCTAATCCTACAGTTAAGAACTTGCACGCTTCTTTCTTATCCTGCACAAAGAGCTATTTTGCAAATAAAAGAACAGTGAGAACACTGGGCCATGCATATTTACTTGTAGTCCCAAGGATTCACAGGAGAACTCAAACCTAAAACTGTCTCTGTGTGGTATCTGTCAACACACACTACAGTTAGAAACCTCATACAGCACCCAACCCCACAAAGCAGGTGCTGCATCGTTTCCTCAAGATGACAGTTCAAAAACAAGTTTATGCTTTAGAGACAAAATTAATAGTTATGATGACAGTAATAAAGCAAAATCTGGACTACTGCCACCTCCCACTCCACAGAGCAGGTCCAGCCTTCAAATGCTTGGTTTCCTACGGTAATTTATTCAGTAACCACAGAATGAACTGGAAGACATTTAAAACAACGATTCAGTCCCGATGTTTTACTTCTATTTCTGAGACTGTGAGCTCAACATGCGGCAGCAGGAAGCAATTCTTTTAAAAAAAGAAGAAAATCCCAGAGAAAAGCAAACTTACCAACACAGTCACAGCACTCATCCCAAAGTGTGCCCAGGCAGAGCATGCATTCCTTACAGCAGGAACAGTTCCCTTCCCCAGGGCGACACTGACACAGCTCCTGAGAACGACAGAAACTCATTACACCGCCGCAATCCCAGATGTAAAATGGCAGAATGATTCTTCCTCAAGCCACAACTCAAATTACAGCGTTAAAAATGCTTAGCACACTAATTCAGTGAGTAAATGGTACAATAGTTTAAGCCAAAGAAACGATCTTAGTTTACAAAAGGATCTTTTGTGGGGTTGGTTTTTTTAAAAAGGTGACATTCTTAAGACAAATTCGAAGTCAGTATTTAAAAGACAAAAAAAGTCCTATTCATGGGGAAGGTGTGTGCACTTCTACATATGCCTGAATCTGCAAGATCTTTGAATGTTTTTCCCATCACAGCAGGAAATTCAAAAAAGGACATTTCTTTATATAAAAATAGTGTGCATACATTATAATTTAGCTAAAAAAGGAAGTTACTATAAGCTGAGTGTGCACAGTCGAGAAGATACAAAATGTCTACCATCACACCTATTCATGGATTCTAAAAGCAACTTACAGTTAAGTCATCTGACCACGGGATTTTGTGCATCTCTGAATGCTTGTTACACATCGCTCTCCATTTGCAGTATTAGTGACAGGGTTATCTTTTCAACCCAGGTCCAGCTGATTCATATTTGCTATTACAAAAAAAATGCCCTCTCTCCTCCTCCCCCGAATCAACATATTGGGATACTTCCAACACTTCTGGAGCCTCTAGAAAGTGAAATGGCATGGATACACGTTTTCCTTTAACTGCTATTAAGCTAGAAAAATGCAAAAGGCATGAAAGCAAGAAAAGAAACGTTTCTCTTCAAATTATCAAAATCTGAAGGCACTGGTTAGCAGCCCTGCTGAAGACATATGTTTGCGGACTGCACAGTGTGGAAATAGCCTCCATGGAAAAAGGAAATCTAAAATCCAGGCAGTCTCCTTCCCTCTAGCTCAAATCTGTACTAGTAGTTCCAGTTTGGCTAAAAGACTGTGGCTACATGACGATAATATATGGGCTTGAATCACGCTCCAGTGCAAAACATGGAGTCAAAAAGTCATATTTGGTCATCCTGTCTAAGAATTTGGTTTTGATGACGTCTGTCTAACTATCACATTATCCACAACTGGTGAGAAAAGAAAATCCCATTACTGGAAACACTGACCACGGGATCTTTCCCACCCCCAGCTTTCCTGGAAGAGCCATTAGCAAATCTCTGCTACACACTCGGCCAAGGAGATCACGCCCATCCCCGCTCTTTGATCCTGTTCTCCAGAGGGAGGGGAGGGGAGGGACACACCACGGTGTGAGGGACACAGTGAATAAAGTGTGGTCAGGAGATGCACAGGGACAGGAGGGAAGGTTTGGCATGAAATTCTCCTAACCTGGAGTCACCACCCGAGGCTCCACCTCAGCTAACCACAGCTGGGTCAGGGACACCACACCTTACAGGCAGACACAAACACCACACGCAAGTCCTTCTGTAGCATCTTGGGAAGAAATCCAGGGGGCAAGACTCCACCTTTTAAGTAACTCTTTGCCTGCTACTGTTAAACATGAGGCAGAGAAGAAAGGGGGCATTTTTACAAACATGACAACTGCATTTGCTAGGCAAAGCACAGAGATGCACCTGATGGTGTACAACCCCTGTTCTCTCTTTATTCTGCAACACCGGCAACTGCAAATGTCCCCAGGCCGTGGAGTCGCACAGGGTTGTCCCCCCTCACACCAACTCACCCGGGCCCACAGAAGATCCAAGACTGGATTTCAGAGGGTGAGGCCAGAGTGAGGTCTGGCTGGGAATGGGGGTTAAGAACACAGCGAATGAAGCTTGAGGGCTCCCAGCTCTGGACCAAAAGTGAACAAACCCCTAAAGCCGCTGCAGATGTGCTACGACATATTAATGAAGTATAAATTCATTTAATTCTTATTTTTCCACTCGCTTCATGCCGGATTGCAAATCTGGCAGCCAGCAAAGAAACCAAATTCACAAACTATTGCATGTTCTACATAATGCTGAGGAAAGCTGTTGCCTGCAGAGTTTAACAAACTGTTTGCCTTGATGAATGACTAAGCATGAACTTCTACTCCACATGCATTTCTGCAATATTTTCTTTTTATTTAGAATGGTAAACTACCAAAATTTTTTACTTTTTCATCCCATTACTATGCTGTTTCCAAGTAAAAGATTAAAAATAGGCCTATTAATAAAATATACTGTTTTTTCCACAAGAAGAAGACACCACAAACTTAGAAAGGTGACTTATGTGAATGAATGAATGACGCATTTCTAAAATATTTATCTTACCATTTGATAAACAGATTGTCAGGCTTGAGAATAAAAAGTCTGAATAAAAAAAGCTTTTAAACCAACCATGAGTAAAGTGGTGTTGCCTTGGCCAAAGAATACTATTAATATGTATTAGATTTTAAAATACAGGATATTTTAAAATATCCTGTATATTTGTTCTTCAACAGTAAAACTGGGCAAATAACTTCATGCTTATTAAACACATTGCAACATCACAAGCCAGTATGTGGGAGGAGGTGATTTTCCGTAAACTACTGAATGTAATGTATGAATCAAAGTCAGAAAATTCACTAAATTTGTTTGTTTTACAGATTGCACTGTGTGAATCTAATAGAAGACTATTCTCACTGAATTAAATGTAATCTTAAATTATACATTTGCATCATAATAAAAAATAAATTCTGCTAAGCTTCGATATGTGTAAGCACTAGCATGGGATAGCATCACTACACCTACCAGCATTTTAGCAACTTTATCTTTATAGGAAGGGTTTATGAGTAGTGTAATATTTTATTTTATTTTCTATATTTTTCTACTTTTTTTAAACTTGGAGCAAGAAGAAGGCAATAATGAGCAACTTACTTAGTCTTCTGCATAGCTCTCCACACAGTTCAACCATCTCTTCAGGGCAGTAACTGTATGTTTTTCCATCTATGTGTTTGCACATACATGGTTTCCTTAACCACTCTTGAGTCCTTCTGCCTGACTCATCCACATTGGATACTTGCACAGGACACATCTTTTTAAAAGAATGCTTACATGAGACATGGGTGAAGCGAGGCAGAATGAGAAACGTTCCTTCTTATTAGCTGGGGGTGGCGAGGCGTCAGTGGAAGAAAATATTACTCATAAGTCAGCTTGGCAACTTCCCAAGCTGAACTATTGAAGGTGCATCAGAGAGTATATTTTGCTAGGCAAGAAATAAACCTCTCAGTCTAAAAATATAGCACTAAATATGAAGCAGGCATGTTTGTACAACAAAGATACTTCTGCTCCAGAGAGCAAATAAAGATTTTTACAAGGTATTTAACATCTGCATTTTTTCAAAGCTTCCTTCTTCTCAGCGCAGTTAGAAGCAGGACCTGAAGGCATTGGCAACATCTTCACAAACTGGAAGGAGGAGTGAAAAGAAAAAGAGCCCATGTTCTTTCCTAGAACAGTTTAATAACAGAAAATCTCCTGGAAGCTAACCAGACAGAACTGTTTTGTTAACCCAACTGCATTACGTACTACAGCTACAATATACACACTAATTTTTAGATGCCTAAGCCCTGAAGTTAAGGAGTGGTGTTTATTTCACACCACCAGGCTAAAAAGTCCTGGAAATCCTTTCATGCTGATAGGTTTGTACACAAGATTAACGGAGGGTGAAGACAAAGGTGAAGAGGGATTCTAATCTGAATGACACCGCACCAGCCAAGGTGACTGCAGGCACGTCAGGTTCAGGAGAGAAACCTGTATTCTCTGGAAAACAACCCTTCTTTAGAGAGATCTGAAATCCAAGCCTCAACTATAGCACCATTTGTTTCCTACACACAGCAGGAGTTTAAAGAGCTGTTGCAGATGAGACAGCAAAGCTCAGCTTTCAGCATGGGATGAACACGCCTCCCAAGCCTGACTCCCGCAGGTGCCTCTGCACTGCCAGAGCCAGCCCGGGACTCACCTCGAGCCTGTTTGCTACGAACAATTGTGGGAATGTCCCATCCTAGAGGTTTCTGCCTCCAACGATTTCCTCCATGCTGTAAGGACAATACGCGCCTCTGCTCCGCCCAGCGAGCGTAACCGGCCTTCTCATCTCCTCCACACATGGAAGCATCAAAACAACTCACACGGCCAAGTCAACAACAGGAAAAACACTGAAACACACACGTTGCCTGCAACCAGGGCTTAGTGGCCTACCTGAAAAGCAAGGTAACAGCCAGTTGTTGACTTCAATACCCCAATCCTGGAGACCTTGGAAGGAGCCTTGTCCAAAGCCTTCAAGGCAACTAATTTTGTGGTCCCACTCTGGCTACACTTCCATAACTCCTTCAACAGCTACAGAAGCCACCAAGTTTTTTTTTGGAAAGGCTAAGCTTACACAGAGGGATGCCTCAAGCTATTTTCTTATAGGTCTTTGCTTACAGAAAAACAAGAAGTAGATTGCAAGAGCACCAGTGAAGCCAGAGCCTCAGGACGTAAAAGGAAAACTGAACGCATGCAATTTGTTGATCTCATGCTCCCTTCTGGATCTAACAAAATAAATATTTATGTAGGGACCACCCTTAAGCAGAGCAGCTCCTAGGGAGTGGCAGTAATGACTGTACTGATTTTTAGCCACGCTGGCAAAAATATTTATGTTAACCATATGCTTTTTGAGAGAGCAGGTATTTTGTCTCATTATGTCTCTAAGAAAGGCAGCCTCGCTTTCTGCACACAGATGCAGATGACAAACATTCACATTCTGTTTGCTCCCCTAGTTGTCTCCAAGTGACATTATCTTGGTTTCAAGCCACAGATTGTGCCAAACTAGAACAGTTATAAAAATAGGTTAGGGAAAAATGTCATGCAACAGTCAAGCGAACTCACTCAATGCAGACTTTTAAGTTTGGATTTCTCCACAAGAGTTTAGAAAGGGAAAAAAAAAGACACAGATATACTGTACCTGTATACCTACCAGAAAATAATGTGCATTTCACATACCAGTGTAGCTCTTTTTGCCACAACAGCCCTCAAAATATTTTTATCCAAAAAAAAAAAGCCAAGCAGAAAGATGATAATTGCTTTAGGTCAAAGCTTTAGGAGTCTTCACATCCACAATTAAACTAGTCTGACCTGATCTGTTCTTCTATAAAGAATGAATACTGACTGGTGCGTCAGGCCTGTTTGCAGGAAGAGAGCAGCCAGAAGGTGAAAATGAACAGCGGCATTCCCCCATAACTGCACATCATTTGCATGGCCTGGGTTACTTTAGGGTCTCAGAGAATTGCATATGATTTTGATTTTAGGAGTGAAACGCTTTAAAAAGGGATTCCACATCACCTGTACAAAGTAAGAGAGAACACACCTAACAACAAGTAAAGCAGTAGAGGGGTGTCTCTGCATGCACAGGGCTGTGTCACTACAGAGATGCCAACATAATCCAAGTGAAGCACAGTTGCATGAGCCACCTCCACACAGTGCTGAACCTCAGTTGTCTTATTCCCAGCTGAGGAAGGACTCCAGCTGCATTAGCTCGACTTCTCCTGGGCTGGACTCTATTCAGACTAGCTCATAAAAAAAAAGTTTATATGCTGCTGGATGACTCAAGTTTGACTTTATAAAAGGTAAGTGATTGCTTGGGAAGGAGATTCATGGATGGTGGCCTCCATCAGTGGCAGAGGAAAAAGAGATAATACATACTCACTCTTTCTCTCCCTTCATCTGGATCAACAGTTCTCCCCTCAATCAACAAATCTGTACCACCGCACTTGCTATGTAAGTGCCTCCACACCCAGTGTCACAAATAGCACCTTACTTTTTAAAATTTTCAAGTCTAGAAATGATTTGAGAAACAGAAGGAATCTGTACATGCATCAGTTTGTCATGGTGCACAATGCCCAACACACCAGCAAAACCACTGGCATTGTCTTTGAAAATGTAGAAGTCAAAAGCCTCTTTCTTGTTCCCACATTTAACAACTCCACAGACCTGGTAGGGCTAGGAGAAGCAGCAAATTTTTATTATTTTTTTTTTAAAGCAATGGCAGTGCACAAGTCAGAAAATAAATAGTTCAGCCTACACTCAGTCTTCTTTCCACAAGACGCATCTGTGAACCTGGCAAATACTTTTGTTTGTAAACCAGACAAATTTTATACAGAAGTCAGTGAAACTAAGCAAACACAGAAATGCTTCATGCCACTTCCGCATCACTTTTCAGACCTTGGCGATACATTTACAGTAAGCGTATCAGCAGCATATGATATTTGTGCTCTCTGCTGTTGCACATTCAATCTACAAAGAGGCAGTAACAAGAAAGCTTCTTTTAAAGAAGCTGCAACTGACCACAGGAAGGCTCGTTTTTGCCATACAGAGTCAGGCAGCAAGCTCAATACACACTGTTAGTAAATAAATGCTTGGTAGTTACCAGAACTGCTTGCAATTTTGCTAGAAAAGGCACTTCTGCTGCACATCATACCTCTGAACTCCAGCTATAAGAAGAGCAATCTGGTCTTGGTCTGTTTCTTTCACTGCAGACAGACACACAGTGAGTCAAAAGCAGCAGCTGGATTTAACATCCATTTCCTAGCACTTCAACTCATAAGTATTTGGGTCTGCTTCGGTTTTTTAGGTAGACTCACATCCTTTCAGACCTTGTTCATGACCATTAGTAGCCACAGGTCCCTCCTGATCAAAAAGCTTTTCCAAATGCACCTTGGGACTCTAAGACAAGTTAAGTCCCTACTCCTCTTAGTTCTCTCATGTGACTTTTTAGGCTTCTTCTAAACAACTGCACAAATCTGACGTTACAGAAAGCATCAGGCATCGACTACTGACTCTCTGCCTGGGCCAGGAGACATGAGGAAGCAGACATATTGCAAGTTAAGGGGAATATCTCAGACTGATACGGGAATATCTCAGACTGATTCAGGAATATTGTAAGCACATTTGGACGTCTGGGACTCCAGACTGTTGCCCACAGAAATCTTCCTAATAAAATGTTCACTTTAAATCACTGCTTGTTTGTAGTATCACTAATAAAGAAGAAAGAGACTGAAAAACTAACAGCATGACTGGGTAGCGGCATCTAACAACAACCCAGCAGTCATAATCCTTGTTTGAAATGTTAATATTAAAAAAAGATACATGCCTATATACACATGCACTCAATAAAAATGGTTGTTAATCTGCATCTGTAAGTGCAGGAGACCAAATTAGCTTCTTTGAAAAGACACTATTTAACATACAAAATCGGTTATTTGTATCATCAAATCTTTTCAAGACGCAGCTTCAAAACACTTCAAAGCAAATTAAGGAAACACAACTCATACCTGTATCAAGCATTTACTGACATCGCTAGCACAGAGAGCCTTATTGCAGCCTGTTGATGGCTGGATCCACAGCAGAAACAGAAGGACAGCGACTGTGGGTGCCGTGACGTACTGCGACCTCATCTTTCCTGCAGGTGAGCAATTTTCACAAGTACTTCAACCAGCACTGAAATAAAAACCAGCAACTGAAAAGGCTATTGGAACACAAGTTAAAATCCTACTTCTCTTCCCCCATCTTCAATAAAGATCAATATTTTTTTCGGAAGGGGAAAAAAAGTCAAATTTAGTTCCTTAACAACAAATCCAACCCCTCCTTCCCCAGCTAACTTATTTATTTGAAGCCTTCTGCTACTGTACCTTTGCCTTAAAACTGAAAGAAACTTAAGGTGAACAATCTCGAGTTTGCAATACCAAATATGATACCCTATAAGCAGCGATGATAAAAAAAATGCTTCAGAAGAGAAAACCCTCCAATGAAGACTTAATTCTGTAAATGGATAAAGCAGACAGAGACGTTTCATGCAGCATCTCCTCAGGCTAAAGGTACACACAGGTGTCTGAGACCAAAGCTATACAGGAACCTTTTACAGCATGTAAGGGAAGTTGCCGTGTCACCTTAAACATAGACGGAGAGTTGTTTTCATACGGAGAATTAGATGTCACATAAGCTTTCAAGTCAATAACAAAAATTTGTTAACTTTTTTTTAAAAAAACAGAGAAGGCAACATTAAAAAAAAAGTACTGGAGACTTCAAACGATAAAACTTTCAAGAGTCACACAACTGACTGAAGTCAACTGGAGATGAGCATCTGCTACTTCAAACAGAGAGAAAAAACCGAGTCTGTTCAAAGCATTCTGCCTCTCTCCCTTTGTGAAAATCCAGCTTCCCGGCAGGTGGTATTTGTTACCAGTACAGCGTGATTATTGGTGTGCCAGTGAGTTCTTACTCGGGCTTAGCACGTGAAGCCAAGTCGGACCCCATGGCACTAGGCACTGTACCAATATATAATAAAAGGCAGCCCATGTTTGGGCAAGCTTACAGTGAGCCTGTATTGTTCTCATAAGAGGGGAAAAAATGTTAATGGGGCTCTGGGTTTCTTTCTGTCTCTAGAAATATTTTGCAGCTTTATGAATGCAAAAAACCACCCTTCAGTTAGCAATAGCTGAACGTAAAAAAGAAAAAAAAGTAGAAAACCAAGCCAACACGTCAATAAAGCACGATCTGGACATTTAAAGCTTGGTCTTTCTCACAGTGGCTGTTAAACGCTTCTGAATCTCGCCGGGCTGGGCGCACCGCCACCGGCACCCCGGCAGGACACCCGATCCCCATCCCCCCGCCCTGGCAAGACCCCGCGGCACGCATGGGGAGCACGGCACCTTGCCCTCCAGAAAGGGTCACCGCTTACCCTCCCTCCCCGCCAG